TGTTTTTTCTTTTTCCCTACAAGTTGTATTTCAGGACTTTGGGATCCATTCTCACTTCCTGAATGCTCAACAATGAACTTGAGACTCTTCAGTGCTTGTTTTCAATACGCAGGTATCCCTTCAGAATAATTTTCATTGTCCTTTGAAGCTTGATAGACCTTACTAGAAATGTCTTAATGCAACAAAGTAATATCAGACAGCAGCTGAATGTTCTCTGGTGATAAATAGGTCCAGATCACTGTAGACATACAAATAAATGATAGATAGGTTGGTTGTAAAAGGAGAGAGTAAAAAAATGTAAATTTTGTAATACGTGACATTTTACCTAAAACACCAATGTTTTTGTTTTTAAAGAAGCTGTGATGCATTAAACAAAATAAAAAATATATATAATAAAAATAAATAATAAAACATATTTAAGTTCAGGACTGAAACTTGGATTTTCTGCCTGACAGTTTTGCCAACCTGTCATCAGGATTTTATTTTATTTTATTTATTTTTTGTTTATGCCTTATGATGGTGTATTAGGGCCACGTTAAGAAAAAAAAAATCAGATTACGAGAAAAAAGTCATAAAATTATAAGAACAAAGTCGTAATATTACGAGAATAAAGTCGAACTATTATGAAAAGAAAGTCAGAGTATTTAGAGAAAAAAATAAAATTATGAGAAAAAGTTGAAATATTAAGAAAATAAAGTTTTAGTATTAAGAGAATAAAGTCATAATATTATGAAAATAAAGTTGAAATATTACGAGAATAAAGTCCTCGTATTATGCAAATAAAGTTGAAATATTAAGACAATAAATTCAAAATATTATGAGCATAAAGTCGTACTATCAAAGATCATAATATTAGGAGAAAAAGTCATAAAATTATGAGAATGAAGTTAAAATATTACAAGAATAAAGTTTTAGTATTACGAGAAGAAAGATGAAATATTACAAAAATAAAGTCAAAATATTACGAGAATAAAGTTGTAGTGTTAAGAGAATAAAGTAATAATATTATGAGAAAAAAGTCATAAAAATTACGAGAATAAAGTCAAAATATTTTGAGAATAAAGTTTCAATATTATGATAATAAACTCATAATACATTACTGGCTCGAACCTGCTGTGGGCAGCCTCCAATGTGACTCACTGTGTTTATGAAGAAGACCACAATCACTTTTGGGTCAATGTTTGAGAAATACGCCTCCATTCACATTATGTGACGACTAAATCATAAATGCAGCCCATTGATTGCAATGCCATAAGGCTTCAGTTTATCATAAGAATCCATATGCAAGAGTGCTTTGGACCCCTGCATTTTTATTGCTGACGTCAACATTCATCATTTTATCATGGTTGTAAGACTGCTTTTTCGTGTCAGAGTTCTGATAATATTACAACTTTATTATGGTAATATTACGACTTTATTATACAAAGTAGTAATATTACAACTTTATTCGCGTACAACATTATTCAAGTAATATTACAACCTTTTTCTCATAATACTGCAACTTTATTTTAGTAATATTTCAAGTTTATTCTCATAATAATTAGAGATTATTCTCATACGACTTTATTCTCGTTCGTAATGTAATTTAATTTTTTTTCTTAGTGTGGCCCTAATATTCCGTCGTAATGCCTAACAAACTGTGCTTGAAGATTAAAAAATAATAATTGCACATTAAAAAATTCTGGCCTAGTGACAAAAGTGAGATGCTTGGTCACTCATGACCAAATGTAATTTCATGAGTTGTAAGTGGAAATGTTTTAGATAAAATAAAATAAAAAATAATTAACAAAAAAAGAAACAAGAGAAAACTAAAAAAATAAGCTAAACCATAACATTTCTGTCTTAATGGATAGTTCCTTGAAGAAGATTATTTATAAAGTAGAACATACTTCAGAAGCAGCATTTGCAGAGTTAATCTCAAGTACCGAACCACATGTCTAAAATCTCACTTTCTGAATCTTTACCAACATTTCAAAACATGCAGTCTTACACTGGATCGTTCAGTGATTTAAAGAAATAAATAATGAACATTTCC